CCTTCGTGGGGGCTTCTGTGCTGACAGTAAGACCTGTGCCCATATCTCTTGTGATTCAGGGCCCCTGTTATGCTTTAAGTGTAGATTTCCCCCAAAGGTCCCATGGGGTCATAGACAGGCCCTTTGGAAGGTGATTGGATTATGGGGCTTACAGCTGACATTCTATTGGGAGGTGGGGTCTTTTAGGATGAGGAGGGTCACTGTGTGTGACAAGGCAGGTTATATCTTCCTTCCTGGCTCCTCCCTTGACCCTCTGCTTCCTGGAGGACTTGTGGTAAGCAGTGTTTCTCACACCAGGCCCTTCCACTCTGCTGTTCTGCCTTGGATCTAGCTGACTATGGACTGAAATCTCTATAAATTGTGAGCCCAATTCAACTTACTTCCATTAAATTACAGGTGTCAGCTATTGTGTCTCAGCAATGCAAACATAAATAAGGTAACCTCTGAAGTTTCTCCATCTTCCTCCTGTCAGTGCCTGCACTCCCACAACCTCACCCCTCCCAAGATGAGCTGATTGCTCCCTTTGAGACCAAGACCTCATCCCCTGAAGATTCCCTTCCAGTCCATGGTAGAAGTGAGCATGCCAATTAGAGCCTCCCAGGGCTGACCTGGGGAACAGGAAGACTCTGTGAGTCTGTTGTTTCAGACTGCAGGCTTCCTCATTCCTCAGGAAGGACCCATTCCTTGGGTCCGTAGCTCCTGGAGTCCTCCATTTATTAACCATATGTATTTCCTTCTACTGACTTGTGGTCACCTCTTCAAATAAGGTCCTCACCTCAATGAGTTCTCCCACCTGCAGCCACTTAGTAGAATTGTGAGCAGTTTATATATAGCCACCTTCACCAGGAAATCCAGGCTGATAATAGGGGAAGCCAGGCTATGTGTAGCCCCCATATCCAAATATGGATATTTGGTTACCTTGAAAATTTCAGTGCTGGAAAATAGCAGAGTGGTGACCAACAGCAATTCAGCCTCTCCAAGAATCAGAATCTAAACTCTGGAAACTCACAATGAGAGAGAGAGAGAGATCCCTGGGAATTTGGAAGGAAAGAACACAAAAGTTGAAAACTAGAGACTGTTTCCAATATTAAGGCACTATAAAATGTGTTGCTGTAAATAGCCCATGAGCCCATCAACAGATGAATTGATTGATAAAGAAAATATGGAGTTTATATACAATGAAGTACGACTCTGCCATAAGGAAGGATAAGCTTGAGGCATTTTTAGGTAAATGGATGGACCTTGAGACTATAATCGTAAGTGAAATAAATAAGACACACAAGGTCAAATATCCCATTGTTTCTCTTGGGTCAGAAACACAAGATATAAACAAGGATCAAATTTGAGGATAAATATATGGAAGTAGGAAGAACCAGTTCAAAGAGAAGGGGGAACAAGAAGTGATGGAAGGGTGAAGGGAAGGAAGGGAAAAGAGATTTAAAGAAAAAAATATTTGAAGGAAAAAATGCAAATAGAGATTTTGTAAGTGGGGAGGGAGGCAAAAAATAGAATTAAGATGCATTATGTACATTACAAATCCCCCATGATGAATGTTATCATTATGTACTGCAAATATGCACTAATGAAAAAATCTACAGAGTCACTGAATAGACAGACTACATCATGGAGAAGGGAACAAATCAGTCTGGAACTTCTCCCTCACTCCTGGCTCTTGGTAAAGGGATTATATTGTAGTACCAAAGTAAAACCTGAGGACAACCCAGGGAGAAAAGTGGGGATTCAGTGTCCTGGTGGTTGCTGTGATCTGTAGGGCCAGTATGGAGTTCTGCTCCATAGAGTTCTTATAGAGGAAACAGCAGGAGACTGACCCCTGTGCAGGTGCCTGCCATGTCCTTGGAAGTGTGTTGGTTTCTGTGCCATTCCAGGCTTGATTGTTTGAACCTGGGACTCACAACAGCCAAGGGACAGCTTCACTTCAGGGTTCCCAGTGGTATCCTCCCATAGTGACTGGGTGAGAACCATTCTCATGAAACAGCTGTACACAGTGAATAGCCTAGAAAGACACCTCCTGAGGGTTTTGAACTCAGCTAGAAAGGGCACAGGCCCTGATGTGGTAGCCAATAGCCAAGCCCAGCCTGATTAGCTCTGGATTTGAAAAGATAAGCATTGATTATTTGAGCCCTTGCAGAGACTAAAAAAATGCAAAGAATGAATAAATTGAAGAGTTTGTTCTTTGAAAGAAAATATAAAATTGACAAACCTCTAGCCATTTTTACCAAAACAAGAAAAAGTAGACCAAATTCCAAGCACTTAGAAATGTAAAAGTCGAAATCAATATGGACTCTGCCAAAATTCTGAAGATTATTTATAGCTTCTTTAAGAACCTAATATGACAGAACCTCAATTGCACAAGAAATAACAGCAAGAATCAGCAAATTGGATTATATCAGACTGAAAAGCTTCTGTACAGGAAAAGACTGAAGAGACAACCTACAGAATGAGAAATATTTTTTCCATGTACTCCTCAGATAGAGAAATAATATCTGGAATATATAAAGAACTCAAAAAAAGTAAACCAATTAAAATTAAAGACCCAGTAAAGAAATGGGCAAGAGGGATGAACAGACACTTCACAGAGGAAGAAATACAAATGGTCAACAAATATATGAAAAAATGTTCAACATCTCTGATCATTAGAGAAATACAAATAAAAACAATGCTAATATTCCATATCACTCCAGAAATAATGGCAATCATTAAGAAATCAAACAATAACAAATTGTGGTATGGCTGTGGTAAATAAAGGAACCCTTCTTCATTGTTAGTGGTAATTCAAACTAGTACAACCATTATGGAAATTATCAAGAAATTTCTCAAAGAACTGAAATTAGAAAGTCCATTTGACCAAGCTAGACTTCCTTCTAGGGATTTTCTTCAAAGAGATAAAAACAGTATACTACAGTGGTACATGCATACCAATGTTTATGACAGCACAAGTCACAATAGCTAAATCTTGGAAGTAGCCTGTATATCCATTAACAGATGACTGATAAAGAAAATTTGTATGTATAATGGAATATTACTAAGCTATAAAGGATGAAAAATATGAGACCTTTGAATGCACTTGAAAAGAATAATGTTGAGTGAAATAAACCAGACATACGAGCTTAAATACTGTGTGGTATTGCTCATTTGAGCCAGGTAAAGCATAAGCAAAGCAAATAATCAAGGATGGGTAGAAGAGGAAAAAGGGGTGGATCTCTTGCAATGGGGAAGTGGTCCAAGGGAACAAGGGCAAGGGGTGAGGAGGGGGAGAAGGAGAAATAAGTAGAATAAAGATGTGCCATGTACAGGAACCTACTAACATCAATGAATATAAACATTATATGCCCTAATATAAGCTAAGATTAATAAAACTAACATGGATGAAAATATGGATAAAGAAATTAGAAGAGGAGGAAAGGAGGGTGGAGCAAAGGGGAAAGGCATAAAAAAAGCTAGCTGTAGTAAGTACAGGTACCAATTCCCCATGATGATTGTAAACTGCATGTACAGCACACATGTACTAATAACATTTTTTAAAAGTTTAAAAAGAACTTAGCAAAATGGAGAATTCTTAAGAAAAGCATAAATTCATATATATATATATATGAACTCCCAAGTTGAAACAAGAATATATAAAATTCCACATAAATCAATATGTTAGTGAAATAGAGGAATTTATATAAAAAACCTGCCAACTAAGCAAAGCCCATGTCCCCATAGATTCACTACCCAGTTCTATAAGAACTTCAGAGGAGATTTAATGCCAATACTCCTCAAACTCTTTAACAAAATTGAATGGGAAGCTGGATTTACAAAGTCATTTCTGGAAACAAATATTACCCTGATCTCAAAACCAGAAAAAAATCCAATAAAAAAGAGGACTACAGGCCAATCACTTTAATGAGCATGGATGTACAATCCTTAGTAAGACACTGGCAAAGGAATGCAACAATTCATCAAAAAGATCATACATCATCATGAAGTAGGATTCATTTCAGGGATGTGGGGATGGACCAACATGCATAAATCAAAAATTAAATGCACCCCATAAAAAGAAGAAAGGAGAAAAATGCATGATCATATAGACATAGAAAAACATTTGACAAAATCCAACATTCACTCATGATTAAATCCCTGAAGAAATATTGGTATAGAAAAACCTAATCTGAATCTGATAAAAGCAGCCTATGACAACCTATGAAGTTGGCCAAATTCATATTAATTAGGGAGAGGCTGAAAGCTTTCTCTCTAAAGACAGGAACAAGACAAGCATTTCCACTATCACCACTCTTTTTCAACATAATTCTCCAAACAATAGCCAGAGCAGACAGCAAAGTACCTGTCTGGGGACTTTCAGGACTCACTTCCCCTGAGAGTCCCCCTTTTCTCTCAAAAAAGCCTTGCAGAGGCTGGGGATAAGTCTCCTGCTTCTTGTCCTGCTTAGGACCACTCTTCTCATAGCTGTCCTTGGTGAAGATTCCTCTCAGGTTCACTCACCATCTAAAAGCTCTACTCAGCACAGTCTTCCATCCTCTCAGGTCCAAGACACCTCATCTGAGGATCTGGACCTGGCCACCTTGCAGCTGCACTAAAATCAGCTCCTGCAGAAGGAACTTCAGTTATCCCAAGCCCCAAACCACCCTGGTTCAGCACTCACCCATGGCTGCTCTCTGCTAGACCCCTTCCTCTCAGGGGTCTTTTTCATGCTGTTTAAGTCCTTGAGGTCATCTCTCCATCTATCAACATTGGTGGTTCTCCTGGACTCTACCATCTTATGGGGTACCTTTGATCCTGCTCCATCTAGTTTACTCATGTCTCCACCACAGACACAGGGCCTTCCAAAGAGGACATGTGCCATGAAGGTTTGGGAATCCATGTGCCTGTGAGCAGACCGGCTTCTTTAGTGACAGTCAATTTTGCTAGTATTAGTGACGAAACCAAGCATATTCAGGTAAGCATAGATTTTTAATACTGTAGATCAATAGAGGAAAAGAAATAAAAGCCGAGAACTGATTTTTATCCTCGTGTCTATTTCTGGACTCCAAGTAACTTGATGTAAACTTCTTACACATTTCTAAGGATATTTCTATTCCACTCCCATTTTATCACAAGTAATATTAAAGGTTTCCTAGTTGGTTTGACAAAAAGCAAAGACTTTCACACTAGCAACAGAAAAGAAACATTCCTATGTAAGCAACATCATGTTCACATCAGAAATCACATTGAACTATCAATATTACAAACCTAAATATATATTTGAGATCAGTATCATTTTCAAGTAAAATTTGCAATCTACTTCAATCTTGCAAAAACGGAAGAAGATTTCAACATTATAAAGAAAACAGGCTAGCTTGCTGGTCTCCTCAAACACAGACTGAAGGATTGGTATCATTTCACATGGGCAGGAGCTAAGCTAGTGACATGGCTTCTGAACATGCTGTGTCCCTGGCCTGCACCTTGCCCCTCAATGGCCCACATGTCGTACTTGGGCTGCCTGTTGCTGGTCTCTGACAGCCTCTTCATATAGACGTGGGTAGGACCTGGGATCTCTCTTATTGACCTTGGCCAAATGCTCCAGGACTTTCATCTTGGTGGTTTCAGCGTGGGTCCTTGGACCCCACAGGAACTCATAGCGAGCAGGATCACTATCAGGCACCTGGCGATACTCTAGATACCCTTGCTCTACCAGCTCCTCGGTGATGAATTTCCTGGGCTCCCGATAGATTAAGTGCTCCCTCCCATCATACACCTGCATTCCATTAAGTGCAAGCCAGACAACCTCCTCACTGGCACGGTTGGCATTCTGGAAGATGATAGTGATAATCATAATCAAGAGGCTGGTTTTGGCAATGCTGTGGTCATCACCCACTATCGTGTTATAGGTGAGACCCAGGACAGGGTTAAGGGAATATATGTGCCCAGGGGGATCCACTTCCTTCACATCAATGCCAAACACCATGTACATGCAATCAGAGACTTTTGTAAAGATCAGAGGGAAGTGCTCCTGGTAATCCTTTATGACACAGTGCAGGATTTCTTCCCTGGTGGTCATCTCCTTATTACTATACTTGTGGAGCAGAAAATCCACCAATTCATCTATTTTCTCATGCAGGACCTCAAGGGGCAGGGACTGAGGACCTGCCTGGTCCTGAGAGGTGGATGGATGCTCCTCCTGTGCCCTGCTGGAGCCCTGACTGGATTGGCTCATTTGCCCGGATGCCATGGCAGACAGCTTCCCCTAGCCTGCTGTGGTGACTCCTCCCAGCAGGAGTATGTTCTGACGTTCCCTGCGGACAGCGAGAGCTTGGCGATGAGGACTCAGATGCCTGGAAGAGAGAGGGAGAGACTGAGTGTCCTCAGCCAAGAACAATCGGTTCCCACAAAGGCTGATTACAGGATTTGCTTTGAGTGGTGCTCTAAGGCCTCACAGGCTCCTGTCCTCCCCTGGCCTTGTCCCCAGAACCTGGGACAGGAAGTGAGGGTGCTGCTCTGGCTGCAGTTGAACGGCAGAGGACAGGCTCTAGGGCAGACAGTACGGCATGTGGAGCCTGGGGACTACGAGGTCCTTGCTCTGGGACAGGGCCCTCGGAACATGTTCAGGTCACGCACCTCACCTTGGCTCCTGGTACCTCCTGAGCGGCCTCTGTTGTGCAACGCAAGCACACTGCCTCACAAGAAGACCTTCACAGCCTGGTTCCTGGAGCTCCTGCAAGAGGCATGGCGGGCCTCAGGAGGACCTTTGGAACATGACTGGGTCACAGGCGCTTATAGCCGACTTGCCCTTAGGAGCGGGGCCTGTGGGAAGAGGTGGGTCACTGTGGGTATGACAGGGCGGATTACATCTCCCTTCCTGCTCTCTCTGCTCCTGGAAGACTTGGGGTGAGCAGCTATTCTCCCATCAGGCCAAAATCCCATGCCCTTCTGCCTTGGAGCTGGCCAACCATGACTGAAACCTCTGCAAAATGTGAGCCGAAATCAATGCCTCCTCCTTTAAACTGCAGGTGTCAGGTATTGTGTCCCAGTGATGAGATCCTAAGGGAGCCCCGTGTGCTTCTGTCCTTTCTCCATCTTCCTCCTGTCGGGCCTAACCTTCCTCATCCCCACCCCACCTGAGATGAGCTGATCTCCCCTTGAGACCCAGACCTCATCCCCTGAAGATGGCCCACCTTCCTGCCCGGGGAGAGGGGAGCATGCTGACCCCAGGGGACAGGCACAGCCTATGGAGTCCTAGGTCCTGGGCTGCAGACACACTCAGTCCTCAGGAAGGGCCCATGGCTTGGGG